ATCGCACACACGCAGCAGCGGCACATACGGGACTCGGTGAGCGCGGCCTGGCACACGTACGACACGGACGGCGACGGGCGTGTGGGTTGGGAGGAGCTGCGCAATGCCACCTATGGCTACTACGCGCCTGGTATGCGGGAGACCCCGACCTCTGCTGCTCACCTACACCGTGACCCCGACCTTTTTGACCCCTACTAGTGAGAACCTTTAGCCCATTAACTAGAATCTCTGACCTTTGACCCCTGATGCATGACCAGGGTCTACTCCTAAGACCCCATTACCCTGAAACCACCGATCCCGGATTTCTGGCTTCTCATTGTGGCATCCACGGCCTCTATAACTCTGGGACCTGCGGATTCAGATCCTTGACCTGGGACATCTACCTTCCATGCCCCTGACCTCTGACCTCTCATCCTGAGAATCCCAAAGCCATTTACCCTCCCCGATGATCAATGGGTTCCCTCCTCCCTGTCCCCCCTCCGCCCTGCCCCCATGCCCAGCCCTGGGCCCCTCTAGCTCTCGTTCTCTCCCTCCTGTACCCTCACCCCAGCCTGTCCCTCATATCTCCCCAGAGGGGTCTTTCCACACCCAGGGCTTCCCTTGACCTTCCCCGGTTCACAGCCCCCCATGACTCCCTGGGCCCCCAGGAGACAGTCCCAGCTCCTCAGCCCCACCTGGCCTACCCTCTAGCTTTGTTTTTCTGCATTTTCTGCCCCAGCCAAATGGATCTGCCACTTCCCCCGAACTCACCACATTCTTCAAACCTCCACACTCCGCACATTCTGTTCCCTCTGAAGGTGCCCTTCCCCTCCTGTCTGCCCAGCAGCCTGAGGCAGTATAACCAACTGCATCGGAGCATGACTTGGGGGCCCGAGAGCCAGTGTGAACTCAACGCCCATCATTCCTGACTTGGAGGAGTTATGTCCTCTCTGGGTGTCAGTTTCTCCTTCACAAAGTGAGAATAAACTAAAGAACTCTGCTCCCTCTTTGTGAGGGTTCAGTGCCCCATATTGTAGCTAAAGAGCTTAGCATCTAATCAGCTCTTACTGCAAGGTAGCAGATATGTGCAAATAATGAATATGTATTGTGTATGATGAATGCAGTGGAGGTCTGCCAGCCCTGCCCGTCTCCCCGCTCCCCCCCCCCCCCCCCCCCG